CTTGACCTTAAGTCTGTTCGTCGATGATGCCAGTTTTACATACGACTGAACACAAATTAGCAGCAGGCTGAGCCCCAGAGTTAAAATCTCCTTGCTTAAATGTTGTATTTTTACTTTAGCGTTCTTTCATTTTTGAGTTTTTAGTGAGTGCCCAACCAATGCAAATACTTTATACATTCAACAGCTTGTGATGACTGATTGATATGTGGGGTTCAATATCCCAAAACCTCCATATGATTATGAGAGACGCCGTAGTGGGCTCCGGAAATTTCGACCACTATTCAACAGCTTGTGGGAATAGATTGAATTTTCTAACCCCCGTATTCACAAATGCTCCTCGACTCGACTTTCACCCTTCCCTTGACAGAGTTGCGCACTGCGCCACTGCTCGGCTGAAAATGACGCTGCGCCACTCAAGAATAGCAGCAAATTATCACTGAGATGCAGCGACTTTCCCTGCCAGGAGATGGCGCTCCCGTCGGCTTTCTCAGGTGGAGGTGGAGCGTTGAGTGAACGGACGTTCTAGAATACGGGGGTAAGTCTCAGATAGATGTACGAATGCGGCTTTACAACCTCAGCGCACGCGCTCTCTGTGCCCGATTATCTTTCCGGTGTGCTGTGATACTGGTGTGACAATGAACTGAGTAATAAGATTTGTCGTGCTTTTCTGTTAAGGGGGGATAACACACACAGGTGTGCAACTACTACTCCCTATCGCTTTGGTATATTTAAAGCAAACCTAACAAAATTTTCCGAGTTGCTTGGAAATTTTACAACATGGTCTGTGAATTTGACAAGAAAATACAAAGCCATTCTAAAAATAATAAAAAACAGGTTATCTGACCATTTTTATTACTTTTTCAAGGAACATTTGTGAAAAACATCTTGCACTTGAAATGGCCCATTCTCTTTTGGTTATTAAATGTGCCCATGGTACGCTTCTCAAATAAAATAATTATTGTGGGCACGACCATTCTCAAATAAATACCTTTCGCAAAAGTACAATTCTGGTGGGAACAACATTCTTTTGCTTCAGAAAGGGTGCACGGTATTCAGAACGAAGCCACAAAAGCTTGCGTTGGATAGCTTCAGTGGTTACAGAGAAAATGTTCCTTTTCTGACCAAAACTAGTGTTCAGAGAAAATGATGCATTTAAAGGTTGAGTTGCCACGGTGCTGTCACGGGATCCGGCACGCTTGGGCCCATTTTAAAACCCCGCCGCGGTGGTCTAGTGGCTTAGGTACTCGGCTGCTGACCCGCAGGTCGCGGGATCGAATCCCGGTTGTGGCGGCTGCAGTTTTGTTGGGGGCAAAAATGCTGTAGGCCCGTGTGCTCAGATTTGGGTGCACGTTAGAGAACCCTAAATGGCCGACATTTCCGGAGCCCTCCACCACGACGTTTCTTATAATCATATGGTGGTTTTGGGACGTTAAACCCCTTATATCGAACAATCCATGGGGCCATTTTCAAATTCTTTCTACTTCGCGTGAAAGCTTGGCAATTTTGTGGAAGCACTTGTCAGTAATGCTGGAATATTGTACCATGAAAATTGAAAAAGCACATTTTCAGTCATCTTCGCCTTCCATCCTCCTTTAGGTATAAGGTGGCAATCCCACCATCGGATGATAAGAGTGCACACCAATATACCTCAGCACCAGCACCAACAGCTGACACAACAGCAGACGGCGGAACCCCGGCCTGATGGTTGGCGTTTCGGAAACTCATGTGTTTCATAGCGGTGGCCTCTCCTTTTGTTTACGAGTGCGGCAAGCTGGGTGGGTTTGAAACTATACGGTGAAGCACAGAAGATTGATGATTGACATGTCGATTTAACGTCGCAAAACCACCATATGACTATGAGAGACGCAGTAGTGGAGGGCGCCGGAAATTTTGGCCACCTGCGGTTCTTTAACTTGCACCCAAATCTGAGCACACGGGCCTACATTTCCGCCTCCGAGATGCAGCCGCCACAGCCTGGATTCGATCCCGCAACCTGCGGGTCAGCAGCCGAGGACCTTAGCCACTAGACCACCGTGGCGGGGCGGTGAAGCACAGAAGAGACTAAGGACGAAGAATAAAACGGGGAGACGTGACAAGCACTGACTTTGAAGTTTGAAATTCAGAATCACACGAATAAATATTATTCGAGTCTCTGTAATCTCAATGTATATCGAACCAAACGCGCACAAGAAATGTACAAGGCTTTTTGTGATATTGCAGGCGCACATATAGAGTGCTTTATAAGAATGAGCAAAGGTCAACAAAATGCGTATAACCTGCTCAAGCACCATTGTGTTTTCTTAACTTTCGCCGTCTTTTTAAATTTCTCGCCACCAACGACGCTGCCTGTGCTACCTCTTCTACACTCTAATGTAGCCCCGCCGCGGTGGTCTAGTGGCTAAGGTACTCGGCTGCTGACCCGCAGGTCGCGGGCTCGAATCCCGGCAGCGGTGGCTGCATTTCCGATGGAGACGGAAATCTTTTAGGCCCGTGTGCTCAGGTTTGGGTGCACGTTAAAGAACCCCAGATGGTCGAAATCTGCGGAGCCCTCCACTACGGCGTCTTTCTTAATCACACGGTGGTTTTGGGACGTTAAACCCCACATATCAATCATTACACACCGATGTAGCGTGGAAGCGTACTACCGTTCCGGTGACGTCACGCTTGCAAAACAAAGCCACCTAATCACCGTCGTCGCGGAAATCGATGCCCACAATGGAGGGTCGTCGGGAGCGGTTTGAGCAGAATATTCGGTGAATAAAATGCGTCGACTGCAATTCATTGGTAATATCTATACTCCACTACCGAAAAAAAGACGCACGAACCAACGTTGCCATTACTAGTGAGAGAAGCGCGATATGCCAATAAAAGGAATGCTCGCTTCATGGGACAGTCCACGCTTTCGCACTAAATAATGTTTTTCGTTGCTTCATTTGTACGTGTTTAACTTCCGTTGCACCAACTGCTCATTCCTTTAGCGTAACTGAACTACTCAACTGTATAGCTCTTGCTCATCTGAATATATATAAAAAAAACTAGCATAACAATGCCTTATTCCTATGTGGAGCGTTTAAGAGCGCCGTTGGCACAACTACACAGACGCAGCATATGTTTTTTTTTTTTATTCAGTTGTCCATGAAATACAAGACAATTGAAAGGTAATGTCGAAAAGGCGACGAGGTATTAAGCGCTTTAGCGCTGCGCAGAAATATAACACGTAAACACGTGTTTTTTTTGCTCCAGTAACAGTAAAAAAAGGTAACAGTTTAGCATAAACCTTTCAGAATTCTCAACCATGACAGTGATGCAACAGAGGTCCGGTTGCTTTATTAGATAAATATTTTTAACGAATAATTTCCGCTGCCTTCCATCAATGTATAGCTATGCAAAACAAACGCTCATAATAATTTGACAGAAATGAAGCTTCGCCTGAAATTATACAACATGAATGTAAGGCACTACATCTGGGTTAATCTTGAACACTTGGCTTCCTCAAAAATTATCTAAGCTACGCACATGAGAGTTCCTGCATCAATTTCACTCCAAGTTAATTTCGCATCTTCGTTTTATCACGTCCGCGTCACTGCACTTTCATTTTTTTTTCTTCAGCACAGCAATAAAGGTCCCGAAGTGTCCGACTTTGCTTGATTGAAATATTTGTTTATCAGTAGTGGGACCTTGAGCGTACAATGAAAGCACATCTTAAGTACAACTGAAACTCAACGCAAAACCAATAAACTATAGTGCTGCAGTTATGCACCTAAAAAAAACGCGATATTCGAATACCTACAAAGCTTTGTTTTTCGTTTATCACAGAGTCGTCAAAGCGCTGCATTCACACACTGCCTAATACTCCTCATGCTTGAAACGACGCCGAGCTTATTTCACGATTTGCTTGAACTAGAAAGTGGGACCCACGCTGCAATAATTGCTGCACACGGAGGGTACGATGAAAACACACAGCGCTCTCGAAAGTTGCACCAACTGATTATAATGCAATGCGTAAGGAACTGAGTAAATACAAACACATTTGCACATTGTGTTAGGTACAGGTGTAGTTAAGCTTGCTTTAACATAACGTAAGGAACCGCCCTTTGTAGACCTGCATGACGCACGCGTATAGAGACACTTCGCAGCTAGCAGACGACGCCAGGAGCCATATGGACTTTAGGCACGCTCCACCAGTTGTATTTACTTATTTCCAGGTAATTTCGGACCTGGCGCAGCAGACTCGCATGTACAGAACCGGTTTCGAGGGCTCTGTCATTGGTTTTCGACGGGTAGCGTGGCACGTTTTTCGCATTACTGCACACGCACTCCTCAGGGTGCGTTCGTGTCGTCACGTGGAAACCAGTTCGACTGTATAGCAGAGCACGCTTAGCGCCTAGCGTAAGTATCGCTAGCTTGACGCAACCAAACCTAACCGCCCCACGAGCACATAAGGAAATTCGGAGTATCGCAAAGCCTTTTCGGCTCCAAAATAAACGTCGTGTTTCTAAACTAAAATCGTTATCATTTTATCGCCCTTGAAGAGGACATAGATGGAAAAGTAGAGAGAAAGAGAGGTGAAAGGAAAGGCGGGGAGCTTTACCAGAAAATAATCCAATTTGCTATTCTACACTGGGAAAGGGTTATGGGGGCTGGAAAGGTAAGGAGGAAAAAAGAAAAGAGTAATGCATTAAAAAAGAAAGAAAAGACGTACACAGTAAAGCACAGAAGATTCGCAGACATTTAGCGGGTCCAGTTGACCACAAAAACTTCAGCAGCGCTTTCGTCGCTTACTGGTTGGAAGCTTGGACGTTGCGGCGATCCAAAATCGACCGTTCTGAAAGTGACCCATTACCGAGCTATGCTAACGTTGCCATAAGCTGTTTTCTCCGGTAGCTTTCTTGAGGACAAACTCTAAGGACGTGTGCAATAGTTATTTCGCTGTCACAGTGATTACATCGTCACAGTCTGTTCTGATTGGGTAAGCAAAGCTGTTCGTAGTATTGACGTACCTGAGGGCCACATCGATCTCCTGAGCATCGGGAGGCATCCAGGAGAACCAGAAGTCGTTCTTGCCGGACAGGTCCTTGTTGGTGATTGCGTTGGGCGGCCCGTCCTCGCACTGCAGCGGCTGCAGCGAGTCCGACCAGCCGTCAAAGTATCCCTGCGGCTCGGTGCCACCGGTAGTCCTCGATCGAAACGCCAGAATCAGGGCATGCACAGCCACATTGGGAGAACTCATATTCACTGCGATCAAAGCAGAGGAAAAATGCGCGTATGTGAGAATATGGCGGTCGCTAAAAAAGAAAAAAAGGCAAAAGAGAAGAACACGTTGTTATTGCCGAGAACAGCTCCTGAATTAGTCGAGTACAAAAACTGCCCTCATTTATCAACAATGAAGCTTTTGCGACACTTGACATATAATGCATAAATGTTTCACCACAAGGAACACATGCGTCCAGCACGTACGTTCAAAGTAAGCAGTGCTGCTTCCCACTTGCACATTAAATGAACTGAAATGGCCATTGCAGACCGCTAACTCTAATCCTGCACGTGTTTTTACCCAGAAAAAAAAAGCTGAACAAAAAAAAAACACACGGAGGCTTTTGGACAACGTGAGTCTAAGACAGTTTCTTTAAGAATGTAGTGAAGAGATCTCGTTTCTTCAAGGTGCACTGATGGTTCGCAAGGTATAGTGCCTGGCATTATTTCAGCTTTCATTCGAGGGACATACTGAAGTGACTCGTGGTGAGACGTTCTGCGCGGTAACAGACGCTCTTGCAGAGCAATATAGGGGGCCAGGTCTGCCTGGCTAACTCGGTCTGTAGAAAAATAATGCCACCACCACAATAACTACGATCATATCTCGTTCATGTACGACAAAAAAAATACAATTTAGGCTTTCGTGTAGCTCACTGCGCCAGAACCCGATGCACAACCATGTTTTTGCAACAGACTGTTCAGAATTAATGTGAAACGGAGCTTTTCTGAAGGGCTCAATCAAAGTTAAAGAAGTTTCTTTTCTTCTTAATGATTCCACTGCGAGCGACAAGCGTGAAGGTAAAGGTGATGCCGAAGTGGTACACGAGTTCGGAACGCGAGATCGACAAATCAATCTCGCGTTCAACGCCGAGATCGATTGACATTCGCAAGAATATATTTAGGGCTCGCCATAGTGAATATGCATTTATACAAACGAACACTGTAACATTAATATTGCAGGGCTAGAACTGAGTAGCATCATTGGATATAGGGCAGTTTTCGGAGAATGTGGAGAAGGGGAGCCTTTCCTGTTTGCTGCCAATATGCATGCGTAGGATCATAAACGATGCATGTGTGATTTCTTCAATATATACACGAACCATTAATCTTTAGTGGACCAAAAGATGTGCCCACACCTCGCAGGCTCGTACAGGACCACATCTTTGGGAATGGAGAGCGTATATGAAAAGGGTAGAAAAAAGGGAAAGAGTAGGATAGGGAAGCGCTGCACTCAATGAAACGTGGGTCGACGGCGATCCCTATTTCATGCGTGAACTCACCACAGAAACCCAACGCTCCCCTACCAGTGGCACTTTCACGCGACGATTTTTCTACGAACATCTCGTGAATTATATAACGATGGCAAACTGAGTGCAAAAGGTTCAACAAAAATTCACGGTGAAGTCGATGTCACATCGTCACAGCGCAGCAAGCGCGGCGCCAGTGAATCCCCTCATAATCTCGCTCACACGAAGCGGCGCTGATTTATTAAAGGGCGCCGCGCAATTTCATGCAATGTAGAGGGGGGGAGGCGCCACTTCACGTAACCATGCATACATAGCTTACGCAACGCCCAGAGTGGGAGGAAGGGGGGCGTGTCGCAAGCAGCTTCTCCGTGCAGCATCTTCGCGTCGTAGTGTTGAGCTTCATTTTCAATTCGGTCACAATGGAGATTTCGTAAATACGCTCGACAATGCGAAATTGACCGTAAGAGATTCAAGTGCGCCCGTGCCATTGAAAGAGAGCATTATCGGTGCACTTGAATCAAGTGCATAAAAAAAATAGAAACTACACTCGCACAATACACCGGCGGTGGATGGTCTTCTGTCTAACAGCAATAAACTTGTGCGTAATGCATTTCGCGGTGAATCATCAAAACATACTAGGCCCATGACCAACCACGGCTCTTCAGAAAAGAGCTCTATAGTCGCCTTCAAGAAGTTTCTTGAATACTGGAATAGTTCTTGGAAATAATAACATGCACGATGTTGTTGTCTTCCTTTCAATACTGAAAACAAATGTACAGTGTTGTGATCGTGCGTTTGATGTTATGTGAAATTATCTGTCGTAGCGTGTTTTCTGCGATGTGTGTGAAAACTTTAATAATGAGTTGGGCATTTACGTCTGAACTCATTTGCGTATAGTAACTTGTGTTCCACTACTTGTGTACATAAGAACTTATCTTACCCCTTTGACCTTCCATGGGCTGCTGAACTGTGCTACATTCGCACATATTAGGAAGCTTTAGAATAGGGGCCCCAAAAGTTTGGGGCCCCAAAGCCCTTTCCGCATGCACGCTTTGGGTGAAGCAGGAGCGAAAAGTTTTCGAATAGGGCCTGCGGCGCATTCGATACTCACCGAATACTTGATCATGTCATTTCAGACGTTTGTCTGACGTCAGACGTCACCTTTTGGTCAGTCATTTGTCTGACGCAAAGATTTTGAAGCAGGTTTTGGGGCTCCCGCTAAATTCGAACAATAGCGTCTTTAACGCGAAACCCGAAGGCGGTTGGGGTTTCGCGCGTGCGCAGTGCCCTCGACGCCATTTCTTTTCAAAGCCAAACTTTTGGGGCCCCTATCCGAAAACTCCGTATTATCTTTGAATGTGTAACGTTTTGCACCCTATCATTGTTTTTACTAGATACTTTCTCAGCTAGGCGAGAAGGAGTAGCGGATGCCATCAAAAAGAAACCAAACTATCCTATTCAGTATCTACCTTAAAAAGAACAGCGGCGGTAGCTTGCTTAGTACATAAGTCACCATAAAATTTAAATGGGCACCAAATGTCCAACTTAGCCATTTCGTTAAAAGTTCTTACGCAGGACGCCAACGAGATGGCGAAAGTGCTTCGTAGATTCATGGTAGTTACGGTGCTCGGTGGCTGATCCAAACACGGCGGATTCAATTCCTGCAGGGACGGTCGCATTTCGATGGAGCAGGAATGTTTTATTTACGGTGCGGTGTCAGTGCACCTCAAAGTAACACCAGCTTGAAAATTTCGAAGCCCTCACCCAAGGCATGTCTCGTATTCATATCGTGGTTTGGCGAAGCGAAAGCCCAGAAATTATGATATCATTCACTGTTATAAAAACATGTGAAAGCTTTGCTACCTGTACCCGACCGTAATGAAGCAAACATTATGAGGTATGCGGTGGATAGTGTGGTGATAACTTATAAGATATCACATATTCACAGATAAGCTCAAAAACCAATATGTTAAGTTTAACTTCAAAGCTGTGGGACCACTTAATTGAAGCAGTAAATTGGTTTGAATTGATTTATTGTACTGAAAACTCCAATTATGTTAATTACATCACCAGATGTTCACCGCTACAGAAGAAAATCGAGGTCAAACATATACACTTAAATTTAGCGCCGAAAATTATAGCGCGTAGCTTCAGGGATTTCCAACTGTGTTGTTGGTATAGTATGGCAACATCGGTACAACGAATTTTTTCGAAACTTGGTATGCTAAGTGTCTTGCCCTCTCGGAAGACAACGCGGGTCCTTTTCACTGATTAGGAACGACATGCAACCCAGTAGACGCCACCAGAATATATATGACGTCATGTTGACTTGTGCAGTATTCAAGGTGGCATCACCACCCATTTTTTTTTCTTTTGGCACGTTTTCTCGTTTACGAAGCATGTTCTCACATAAAGCGCAGTGATTTTTGAAATTAAAGAAAGTAATTTACCAGTAAGAGGAAAATATATCTTTCCTTTTTGTGTCACTTGAACCTACTTCAATGCTTGAAAAAAAAAAGGATGAATTGCTGCCCCTCTCAGAGCATGAATAAGAGAGAGAGAGAGAGAGATACGTCAGAGTCAATTCAGCGACGCGCGCCAAAGAAATGCATTAGGCTGCTCCATGAGCACTCCCAACTATTTTTTTTTTCATCTTCATACTATGCTAGTGAACAGCAGCCATCAGCGCTGGTATTTGCGAGTATATGCGGTCAACTAATCATATGCAAAATGTGGGATTTGTGAATGTCCAAACACTTCTTCCCCTTTGCGCCTCCTAATGCGAACGCATCAAAACAAAAAAAAATTGGGTGGCAATGCTGCCTCTAAGCTTCCGCCACATATCACCGTGATTTTATGGATTCCGACGGCGTCCAACCAAATATAGCTGTTTGTAGTCGTCAAGAAACGAATGGCTACCCTGCATTTTAGAAGTACCAACCATTGAGCGCAGCGAGTCGTTATTCTTTCTGTGTGGCACTGGCGTACTAAAGAAAAAGCACTATAGAGCTTAAGACGGTGAGTTTGATGTCGATGTTTGAACATGCTCAGCTTAAAGGTCGCACTGCATCGACAGTTTTGTCCGTTGCAGTGCAGCCCAAATCAATAAGACCTTCACTTCAAATTTCCCGACAGCTTCTGACCCACTTCCTTGCATGACGCGAAAACGCTCCCGGCGAGCCAAGCTGCCTTTTCATTGAGGCCATATTAAATCAAAGTTTCCATTCGAAGAAGCAGGAGCGATCGATTCAAAATCTATTTGCCGTAACATTGAAAGGCCGACCTACTTTGTCGGGCGATAACAGCAGCACAGCAAATGAAGTTCATTTTTTTTCACGTCACACAACACGATAAGCGTCCACGCCAGCACGTTCTGGAGAATATATTCCACCTAATGATGCATGCTGAACACGAAACTCGATGGAGCCACTTATAATGCAGGACACGTGAAGTTAAATGACAGCCGACGGGACAACTGAACAGAACAACAGCCCATGTTACACAACGTACTTAGAGCCATTCACTTGCGAATCCACAGAGCGAACTACGTAAAGGTAAAGCTTTAACTTTGGAGAAAAATAGCTTCACGTTTCATCTGATTAACTACGTCGATTTAGAGTTCACTGGCTTAACCAAAAGGAGTAGCGAAGAAGTGCGAAAAGTGACGACGCATTGTCATTCTAGATAAAATACATTCAATGAGCATAAACAATCAGTGATTTAATACGCTAGATAGGT